CCGCCCGCTGCCGCCGCCTCCTCCCCCGGGGCGGCGCGGCGCCGGCGGGCGGCGGCGCGGAGGCCGGACCGGGCGGCGGCCCAGGCGGCGCTGGGGGCGCGGCGGCCAAGGCGGGCGGTGCGGGCGACATGACGGACAACATCCCGCTGCAGCCGGTGCGCCAGAAGAAGCGGATGGACAGCAGGCCCCGCGCCGGGTGAGCGGGGCCCGGGGACGGCGGCCGCCTTTGTCCGCGCGGGCCGGGGTTGGGCGCCGGGGCGGCCTGGCCGGGCCTGACAGGTTGGCCGCGCCGCACCCGGCGCCATGAGCCGGCGGCTGGCCGGGGAGGCGGGCGGGTCATCCCCGCTGCAGCTCGGGCCCGGGCCCCGTGGGCGATCCGGTCCCTTCTGGGCCCGAGCGCGCGGCCGCCTTGCACTCCTGCCCACCTTCCTTGAGAAACCCCGAGAAGCCGGACCCGCCCCGGCGCTGTTTATCGCGCGCGGAATTAAGACCAGCCGAGCCTTTTCACCCCTTTATTGTTTCCTGATTACTTCTTGTCGTTGTGATTACGATCTGGTCCACATCAAACCTTGCTCCGCGCCTGGGAACGGCCCTCGGGAGCCCGGATATGCTGAGCTTACTGGGGGGGCGAGGCTCGGCCTCCTCCGCAGACCCGCCGCGGGGTCCCCCATCAGCGCCTCCGGGTCCCAGCCTCCGGACGCCGCCTTGCCTTCCCGGCCCTGGGTCTATCTGAAACCCGCAGCCGCAGGAGGCTGGGCGGGGCTCCTCCTGGTCCACGGGAGGACCTCCCGCTCCCCACTATTTGAGGGAAGGAGCCCCCCTGGCAGGGGTGGGGGTTGCCACCTGCTGTGCGTTCCCCGCATTGGCAGACCCCAGGGCCGCCTAGGCGTGCGTTTCCTTCTCCTAGAGAGAGAGGACAGGTAGGTATTTTGTGCCCTGCTGTCCTTCCGTTCGGAGGGTGGCAGTGACCTGTTGAGATTGTGAGGGACTTCTGCCTGCGACAGACTTACCTGGGGGTAAGGATTGATGGGCCGGGGGGGGGGGGGGTGGTTAAAATAAATGCACATTCCCTGGCCTTGGCCAGGCCCGCCAATCAGAGTTCTTGGGGGTGGGGGTGGAACCTGGAAATGTGCTTTTTCCGAGGCTGCCCAGGTGAGGTTGACGTCCCCTCTCGGCTGAGGCCGGGAGCTGGGCGGGGCTGCGGCCTTGGACCCGCCCTTTCCCTTAACATCCTGCGCTCAGGCCATTTCCTTGTGGCGGCTGCTGAATGCGGCGTCAGTTGCTTGGTGCAGGACGCGGGGAGGGTGCGCCCTTAGGGTTGCTTGCTTCCATCAGGTGTCCGTGGAATTAAAAAAAAAAAAAAAAAAAAAAGAGTGACGCTAGCTGCCATTTTGTGGGGTCTTTGTCCCCGTCTTCCTTGAGTGTTGCGGAGGCCCCTGTTGATGTAAAACAGAGGAGAAAGGAGCTCAGTGAGGTTAAGGACTGCGGGGGAGATGCTGAGAAATGGAGACTGCGCTCAGGGTCGGTCCGCCCGAAGACAGCCCCCCATCCCTGCTTTCACTGTTCTCGCGTCTTTTAATCCTGACTACTCAAGGCTAAACAATGATGATTAACTTGAGCTCTGTGCCTGGATAGTGACCGCGTGTGAGATACACCCTCGGTAAATACTTCAATGGATTTGTTTTATCAGTGGACTCAAGTCCTCTAGTTACAATTCGCGTTTAAAAACAATTATGAGCCGCCTACTTGGTGCAGGGGCGGTGCCAGGGGACGGGAAGGCAAAGATTAATTAAATAAGCCTTGTCGACGGCGCCTGGGTGGCCCAGCGGGTTGGGCGTCTGTCTTTGGCTGGGGTCATGATCTCCAGGACCTGGGATTGAGCCCCGCATGGGGCTTCCTGCTCTCCGGGGAGTTTGCTTTTCTTTCTCTCTCTCTCTCTTCCTCTCTCCCTCTCTCCCTTTCTTCTTCTAGTCCTCTCTCCCTTCCTTCCTCCCTCTCTCCTTCCCTCACCCGCTCCTCCTCACTGCTCTTTCTGTCCTTCTCTCAAATAAATAAATGAAATCTTTAAAACACACACACACACACACACACACACAGACAGACACACACACAAAACAAAAAACCCAAACACAAAAAAACCAAGCCCTTTCAAACTCGCACAGGCCTCCTGACGCTGGCTGTGCATTGAAATCACCTGGGGACCTTAACAACTACCACCTCTGCCCCTGTGTTAAACCTTTGAAATAATCTGGGGTGGGACCTGGGTGTCTTTTATTTTTTAAAGCCCCCGGTATGATTTTACTGTGCTGTGGTAGTTGAGAACCCCTGATTCAGTGCATGAGAGAGAAATGCAGGTAATTATTTAAAAGTGATGATTACCAGGATAGAGATGTACTGTTAATATGGGGGTCGGAGGGAGTGGTGCAGAGAGTTAACAAAATTTGTTTGGTGTTGGAGTGGAGGAACTCACTCCCTTTTAGAATTTGCCACTTTGGAACTAATTTATTTCCTAAACAGTGACTCTGATTGAGATTCAGATCCTCTATCAGGAGAGCCAGGCATATGTGTATATTTTTTCATATTTAATTTGCATTTTTAGGAGTAGCCACATCAAGGGGGGGAATCTGGGTGTTTGGAAACGCTTTGGGAGCAGAGTGGTGCGGAGCTCCCTGAAATATAATGAGGGGGAGTTGAAGAAGAAACTAATACAGATGTTCCTGGACTTTTTTTCTTTTAAGGATTTTGTCTATTAGGGAGAGAGGCACAGGCAGGGGGAATGGCAGGCAGGGGGAATGGCAGGCAGAGGGAGAAGCAGGCTCCCATCTGAGCAAGGAGCCCCATGCGATGCACAAGATGTTTCTGGACTTTGGATGGGGTTACATCCCGATAAACCTGTTGTAAGCTGAAAATACCTGAAGCTGAAAGTGCATTTACTACACTTAACCTAAGGAACATCATAGTTTAGCCTGGCCCGCCTTAAACATGCTCAGAACACTTAAGTTAGCCTACCGTTGTGGAAATCATGTCACATAAAGCCTGTTTGATAACAAAGTGCTGCATATTTCACATAATGCATTGAATATTGAAAGTGACAGAATGGTTGTATGGGAATGAGGTGGTTGTCAGTGCCTCAGTTCTTACCCCTGTGATTATGTGGCCAGCAGGGGCTCATTGCTGCCCAGCATCACCACGGAGGATCGCATCACCGGGAAATGGTTACAGTTCAAAATTTGATATCAAATGCATATAGATTTTGCACTATAGTAAAGTTGAAAAATCTGAATTTGAATTGCCATGAATCAGGGACTTTCTGTTTGTGGTTGGTCAGGCTCTCTGAGTTCTTGAGATAAGTAGCCTTTTTTTTTTTTTTTTTAAAGATTTTATTTATTTGAGAGAGAGAATGAGAGAGCACACATGCTTTCTCTCTCTCGCCCTTGCGTGCTCACGCAAGCAAGCACAAGCAGTGTGGGGAAGGGCAGAGGGAGAGGGAGAGGAAGACCTAGGCTCCCCACTGAGCAGGGAGCCCTATGGGGGCTCCATCCCAGGACACCGAGATCATGACCTGAGCTGAAGGCAGACGGTTAACCAACTGAGCCACCCGGGTGCCCCAGTAGCCCTGTTTTAATCCTTGTAATGACTGTATGGGTTTTGGGAGCTAGTTTCCTCATTTATAGACAAGGAAAGTTAAGATTTGGTGATGTTAAATCATTTGTGTGAGGTCACAGAGATAGCCAGTGTGAGGGGGTGGATTTGAACCCAGTTGACTCATTTCGTCTAAATGGCTGTAAGCTATAGGATGGTTGAGGGTTTTATGGTTAAACCGAAAGCGTAGGTGCTGTGAGTCCCAGGAGACAGAGGGTAATTAACGCTGGGTCACTCAGTGCATGTTACCAGGACGTGTAGTTTATTCGCTGACGGAATCCTGTGGCTCCGATGTTCTCTCTCTCTCTCGATTAAGTTTCCACATCCTGATGCTGGGAAACTTTCCCCAGTGGCTCAGGTAGGAAACATGGCGTGCGCACAGCGTTGCTGGAAACCATTCTCTGGCTAAACGAGCTTTGTGGCTCCTTGGATGGCGTTCCCTTCTTGGTGCAGGACCAGACGTTGGTTGCGAGGAGTGTGGGTTCCAGAGTTGAGGTGCCTGGTTCAAGTCCAGGCTCCATCTCTGACTAGCTCTTTGACTTTGAGAAAATTATTTCACCTCTCTGGGTCTCAGTTTTTCCATCTGTAAAGTGGGACGAACAAGAATTCTGGCTACCTCAGAGCGTCGTTTTAGAGACTTAATCCGTGTATGGTTTAGAACAGTAAGCACTCAGTACATCTTAGTATTTGCTGGGGCAAATGGGGATAAACAGGCCTCTGCATGAGGTTTGCTCCTGGGGGTGTTCCGGAAGCC